ATTCAAGAGAAATGCTTATCGTGCTTCAAAGAAAACCAGCAATACGAACGGCAACGGCAACGGCAACAGCAGCGGCAACAAAACATGAAATTGAAAATGCCAAACGCTAAAAGACAACTAGACAGACCGTACCCAACCCTTCTCCTCCTCTGCACTAAAAAAAAAAAAGAATGAAATAGGCTTCATTAGGAAAATAAGCCAGTATATTTTTACTTTAAGGAAAGTCCATTGTAAGGTCCATACTTTATTATCGTTCGTTTATGTTTTTCCAAATGGAGTTCGTCACAACGCGGACCGCCTGTTTCCCGCATATTTGCAAAAAAAAAAAATGCCATACTGGCATTGCCTACATCGTTTTTTCCGGTGCAGCGGATCAGCAATATAGAGCTTATAGTAAAACTGTAACGAAACCCGATTGAACCCGCCATGGGTGGCGGTGGATTTGCTTTGGCTTGGCCAAAGCCATAGCCACAACAGCGGATCTGAACCTGGGACATGGACAATAACATGTACGAAAAAATTTCATTGCTGGTGAGCTGGTGCGCTGGCCGGGCTTTTTGCTCTATGGCCGAAACCACGATTCGGGCCAGCAGGAAAAGCAGGAAAAACCAAAAAACAAAAAAATCTCTGTCAAAAATCGCTGGCGGGCAGCTGCGGGCCCAGCCCAAGCACATCCTCACGAGCAGCAACACCAGCAACACGGCGGCAACAGCATCGACAACAGCGACAACAAAAGACCGAAAACAAAAAAGAACAAAAAAATGGAAATAATTAATATGCCTCAAAAATATACAGGCCAGCATTTATGACAGCCAGGCAGGCGGTGCTGGGCGAAGGGAGCATATTGCAACTGCAACTGCAACTGCAACTGAATCGGGATTGCAGCTGCGCAGCATTGGACGCTGGCCGCTTTTCCGCCGGCAGCTTGAGCAGCGGCAGCAGTTTAACTAACGGCTTCTGTGCTTGTTGTGCTGCCGTTTCCGCATCTCGGTGTCGCCTCAGAATGTGCACGATTTTCCTTCAGATTCAATTTCAAGTGCAGCAGCAGCAGCAATCGCAGCAACAGCAAAATGGCAGCGGCAACAAGGGGCAAGCGCCGCTATTAAGTCGACGACAACAACAAGCAATAACCCTAGCCGATGGAGCCGCCAGCCCAGCCAGCCTGCCACTGTCTGCCGCTTCTTGCCGAGATTTCTATCTTTGATCTCTTACTCCACATGGAGCAGCCGCAGCAGCAGCAACGTGGAGCATTTGCCGCATTATGTGGCAGGGCAGCCGGTGCTGTCTGCTTGTTAAATTGCTCATTTAAACCATAACGAAATGGCCTGTGCCTGGGGACAGCTCCAGAGCATGTGCCTTCCTAGAATCCAGCCCACTCGGAAAAACAAAACCAGATCACTTTCAACGCGGCTGCAACATAAATACCGAAAGCAAAGTGTCACAAGCCGTCAACTTATTTGGATACCCACAAGCTGGTATTTGTGGTCTTTCAGAATATGTAGCATAACTTATTAGTTGGCACCTTCTGCAAACATATTTTCGCTCAGTGCAGCCACTTGTCTCCGCTTCTCCTTGTAGATGGAGCACCGCCATCGATGCGGCGGCCGTGCAAATTGCCCGGAGTCATGTGGCGACCGAGTTGCCAAAGGCATTTTTAATTAGCATGCAGCGGAAATTAGTCGAGTCCAATGCTAATGCCAATGCAATGGGAATGCCAGGCAATGGGAACCAAATAGATTTGTCGATCTCTGGCCGCCGCAGGCTGAGTAGCTCCAGAAAACCCCAACCAAATCCCCTCCCATTAGATGTTAGCATTTGCGATTTGCGTCATAAGCCTGCGTCAACATAAATTACAGGCTGGGGAATTGGAATTTATCGGTGACATTGCGATAACGAGCATTGTGTAAAAGCGCTTAGGAATCGCGACAGCTTCTCAAGTGGCACGACACACGCAATTATATTTGATATTTTTATGGCATACGAGTGTGTACATATGTGCGTTTTGCTTTTTGCTCGTTTTTGAGATCCCCCGTGAAATGTTGACATAGAAAGCTGACGATAAGCAGCGGACTTAAGCGCGTTTTTTACCAATGTTTATAATGAAAGAATTTGTCCATAATTAACCAGATTGCCGCAGATGGGATATCACACCAATGACAGCTTAAGTATGGCCAATTTCTCATAGATCTCTTAAGCCAACTGTGTTGCTTGCAGCTTGTGGACAAAGGAAAAGCCGCTCTTGACCAACATTTTTTTTGTTGCCAATGAATCTGCATCCCCTGAGGTGACATCGCTTTCGACTGGGGGGCACATGCCAAATTGGTGTCACAAAACCGAATCATAAATCAAGCAAATTATTATTATTATTATTGGCCAGCATATCTCGGACACATGTGAACCGAGCTATATAGAGATATATCTTCCAGCAACAGATCGTAGAACAAGCGCCAAGCATCAGATCGCTGGCTGGCTGGCTGGCTCTCTAGGAAAAGGCCATAAATCATGGCAATATCCCAAAGCCGGCTAGCCCATAGCTCCAAAGCTGCATAGCTCCACAACGTAGCCAAGTTGCCATCCTCCATGCTTCACTGGACAATCATAATAATCACAGCCGGCTGCTGCGCCACCAGCAGCAGCAACAGGAAAATGCAGCAACAAAAGCTACTTACTATGTCTGCGTCAACCGATATGCAACTGATAAAAGGAAAAACTGTGCGGAAAATATACAGCAAAAAAATGAGACAAACCAAGTTGGTCAAATACCCTGCACAGTTGAAGGGGCACAACTGGTATGAGCTTCCATTTGCTGCACAGATGTATGCCGCTAGTACTTAATTTATCGAAATTAAATGGCTAAATAGAATGAGAATTTTTGTTTAACAAATAAAAAACAACAAAAATTATGAAAGATGGTGGAAGTACAGCTTATGGTTTGCCTTTTTATAACAAGGATTCAGCTTATAACAGATGATGCCAGGGTATGTTATATTCGTTATGCATGCCGAATATACATTTGGTTTTCCACCGCATTGATTGTTTTCTTTGTTGCGGCTGCCGCCGTCTCGCTCGCACTCGCTCCCCATCCTTCGGTGGCCAGCAAGCAGGAAAATTGACAATTGCGCACCTGCTTCATTTTCTTGCGGCAAGCGAAGCGGCTGCCGCCGAGCGGCAAGCGGTCAACAACAATGCCACTGCCAATGCCGCGGCATCGTCTGGTTAATGCCATTTAACGGTCACCAAAATGCCCGCTGTGTAGCAGTAAACTTTCCCAAAAAAAAAATAAAACAGCACAATAATAATAGATAAATAGCAGAAAATAGAAAAAATAAGGAAACCAAAAAGCGCAAAAGGAAAACTATATATTTTCGTGGCCATCAAAGACTGGCCTATGGATAATTTTAATGCATAGAAATCATAGTTACATTGTTGCCGCAAACAATTTGCATAATCCTAAAGAAATATCCCTGGGCCGGCATAAATATTTCATAAATTGCATAAGCCGCCGCACATTTGCTCTAATTGTATGCTAATTCGGCCATGCCCCAAATAAATCAAAGCCAGTTGAGTGAGTTATGAGCATGGATGTGGATTTCTTTGGCTATATACCAGTATATATACTTTTTTTTTTTTTGCATCTGCTGGCTGCTCGATCGGCATCCTTTGTTAAGGGGCTCGCTCTCGAAACTCAGTCGATCCTAATTAAAAACTGCTTATGGGGGCCTCTATCAAATGGCCATCACCATTTTGGCCAATTAAGCTGGCCAACGGAAAATATACGAAATGAACCTGACCGCAAGATCAATGAGTCGTTGATGAAGTTGTTTTGATAACAACAACGAACTCTAAAACCCGGCCCTGCCTTAGAAAACGTGCGCAATTTATCTAAATCAGTGCAGCGAAAGAGCGCTCTAGCCCCTCCCCCCAGCCGACTATTTAGGCCCCCTTTCTAGCCAAGTTACTTGACAATTGGCATGGTATCTGTGGGCTACTAGCACTGCTCCTAACTTCTCCCAACGTCTCCGCGCTGCAAGATAAACATCATAAATGCATTGAAATGTCATTGCCAAGTTGTGCTATCAGTCGGTGCCGCTTTGCAGCCAACCAAAAACAGCAAGGTCCAATGGTCCGATGGCGATAATAACCCGTGGGCAAGTGTACATATAGTAATCGCAAATCGATGGGCACGGCCTCGGCTGAGGGATTCCTTATGCCTTATACCATACGCCATATACCATATGCCATGTAGCATATACCATGTAGCATATACCACATCCCGTTACCCTTTTATGCAATTACAAGTACGTGCAATTGCAGCCAGGCTTAATTAGAGAGCCCCGAACTGGAAGAAAAGCAGGAGCCATGGAGCACTTGACTGCACCGCTGACTGACTGATGATTATTTATCACCGTCGTGAGTCGTGCGACAATGACACGAGATAGCCCAAAGAGTCGAGTTGGCCCAAAGTCAGCAGCATCGTTAGCAACATTTTGTCTGCCACCAGACTAACTGACTGACTGACACTGGCTGACGACTGGGTGCCCCTTTGCCATCCAGCAATATAGATGGACCGTTGGACAGATGGAGCAATGGACCACTGGACAACGGGACGGACTGACAAACAGGCTGGACGGCCGGCCGGCTGGGCACTCAATCTTTCAATTTGAGCTGCACTTCAATCAGTTCGGCTTGGTTCAACTCGGTTCAGCGTCATCATTTTGGGCTGACGTTCTGTGAGAACGAAATTAGTTTCCAATCAGAAGAAGCGCCTCATGTACAGCCAGTGCACTGAAAATAATTCATTAGTTACAATGCATTTTGAGGGCCCAAAGTGGTTAATTAGTTGGGATTAGACCCCTGTTGAAAGCTGGATATTTTTACCTGTAAAAAACGAACTTTCCTCTTTAACTACACTCATTTTACGCTTGGTAAAATGTTGAATGACCCGTTTAATTTGACATTAAAATCGAATTGGATGCGCTGATGGTGGTAATTGAAATAATACTCATATCGCAATTTCATTTAGGATGCAAGTTCCAAGCCATGTGGACCAAACTCATCTACTTAATGCTGCTTTGGGGATTTTTCTGCACAACCAAAGTGCATGGAAAGCGTAAAATGCGAGATCTTGAAGTACGACGTATAACAATATTTGGAAGCCACAGGGTTCGTCAAGGTAAGTCAGGTATCTTGAAATCACACAGATACAAATATCATTCATTTTGCAGAAAAATGTTTGTTCATACCCAGTTATGGAACGTGCAAAAAAAATATCGTGGTATATGGCTATAGCATTGTAACCAATAGATGCACAGACTATTTTTATAGCGGTTGCGGCGGAAATCCCAATCGTTTTGCTACTTATGACGAGTGTCGAACAGTTTGCTATGTGGCTCCGGTGAAGAAGAACATTACACAGCCCGATTATTATGAAAATGACGAGGTCACAGAACAAATAACATCGAATGAAACGGATGATACGGATGATACGGAATCATCTACAGATGAATGATTCTGGCAAAAAATAAAAACATGTTGTGGTAACAATAAGTTTTACTCTGCATAGTCATAGCTCTTTAAAATCAGCCTGGCTTTTGCCATTTCAAGAAATTACACTAAAGTAATCCTAATGAAATTAGTCCCATGAATTACCTAAATGGCAAAGTTAAGCAATTTATGCCTTCAAGTGCATTAATAAATTGTTACATTTGTTTTTTTTTTTGGCCCCACCCCAGAAAGATTTTCCCGATTAGCGTTGCGCTATATGTATGTATGTACATAAGTGCCTAAGTGCATGGCATGGCTAATGCCCAATTCCCAACCAATTTGTTCTATGCGGAAGTTGAGGGACCGCAAGTCGCGTACTCAATGCAGCGGAACTAAACTATTAACGCCTTAGAAAAACGTACATTCTAATGACTTTATTATGAGCAATGCAGGGCAGCAACGAATGCAACATGTATGTAAGTCATAAGTTGTGGCAGTTGATGCTGCACCAGTTGTTGCTGCCGCACTGTTGCACTGCTGCACTGCTGCACTGTTGCACTGCTGCACCCACCCAAAAGTGACGTCAGGGTGCGGCGTAGTCATCGCAGATCGGTTTGGCGGCTTGGGGCCTTTCAAGTGTGCAGTTAGCTGAAATGAATACCGGGCCAAATGCACAGACCGAACCCAACGAACGCCAAGCCGAGATCAGGGCATGACAGTATATCAGTTGACGTTTCTCGGCTGGCGTTGACAATTATTTATGGTAATAAACAGTTCCGCTAAAGCCTGGCACTACTCGGCTCTTCTATCGCAGACACTAAATCCCAAGATCCGAACTCATTCAAAGCCCACATAATGCGCCTCTAATTGCTGCGAAGTCGATGTGTTACAATATTCATAAAACTTGACGATATCCACAATTGAAATGATCACTGCCAACGAGGGGTACTAATATACATATATGCAACATGAGGGGGGCTGGGGGCAGAGCAGTTCAAGTTAGGTTCACAATTTGTAAGGCAACCGAAGTTCGGTTTGATTGTCAGACGGCAATGGCTAAAAAATGGCAAAACAAATGGCCGGTGTCTCATTAATGCCACACAATGGTGGCAGCCAACGGCGTCCGAAATATGCAACATTCATCAATCACACAGCAAGCAAGCCAAGCTGACCTAAGCTGCTGCACACTGAAAGAAAGTGCATTTAAACCCATCTAAAAGTGCACTAAAATAACAAGAAAGAAATTTGTTGGGCAGAATGAAGTGCATAGTTTCATTTTGCTAACGAAACATTACTTTTCTGCGCTCAAAACAATTTGACTTTGTTTGTAACTAGCTTCAATTTTGAACCCATAATTTTAACATTTCTATGTTGAACAAAATTGAAAAAATTTGTATGCAAAGGTAATTTTTCTCAGTGTCATTGTTTGGAGCGTGGCGCACTCTGCTGGCCAGCGAATGAGAATGAGTTCACGCGCTGCACTTGAGGTCGAAAATGGTCGGGGGACGGACGAGGGGCAGTTGGCGGAGCGACTGTGTGCGGATTGATTTGCTTGGCGCATTTTCAAGTCAATTACACATATTTGTGGCATTTGCGGCAATTGAGTATGAAAACTCATGCGGTGGGTCGTTGCAGCAGTCGTAGGTGTTGGCCGTCTGTCTATTTTATTTGTTTGCGGCTGGGTTTGCTTGCCGGTGTGCGAATGTGGCATGCCACAACAACTCGCCGCATGTGTCCGCCCACAAAATGCTCAGGTTTTTTCGGGGCTGACCAAGTGAGTCACGTTGGCAGTCGGGGCGAGCCACATTTAGCTGCATATATAAATATATATAGCCATAACTCATGTCCCAGTCGTTGCACAACGATCTCCAGAGCAACGGTCAACTGAGGGGTTAATGAGGTATCTTATTCAAACCGATAATAGGAAAAGATTCAACTGAGAATTGCCAGAGCTGTACTCGTTAAGACGAGAATTAAAACTGAAGCTTTTATGTCTGTCCAAATACAGATTCTACCACAAATTGCAGTTCACTCTACTGCAGCGCCCCATTATCAATCATTTTACGACAAGCTCGGCAACAAGGTGTTAAGCGCTCTTATCAGAACAGCTGATGGGCAAAGCTTTGGTCAGCCAAACACAAGCCAAAGCTTAAGCCCACAACAAATGCGTGATAAGAAAGCTCAACAGGGCGCATGCGTAATATTCGGAGAGCGGGCAAAATGCCAGCAAAATGCCAGTGAAAGCTCAGTAAAAACCAACCAGTGAGTTGGGCTGAAGGGCTCCAGAGAAAGGGGTGGCACAAAAAGTTACTCATATTTTGTTTACTACACGAGTAGTTACAATCGTGTTTATTCTCTGCTGTTTGCTGGATAGCCGGGAAACGACTACGTGAGAAATTTTTTCAGCTGGGTTTGGGAACTTTGTGGCGACTGCGAAATATGAGCCAGTTACTGTGGGAACTGGTCACATTTCCGCGGAGGAAAGTGTTCAAATGGCATTGGGTCGGCCAGTTAAATAGTTTATTTGCTCTTTAAATGATGTAAACTACGAATTGCTATTAATTAAAAAAAAAGTAATTATTATCGTAAGAGAACACACTAAAAATAAAACATTCACTGGCGTGTTTGCACAATAATACTACATTTACTAAAACAGGTTATAACTTAAAGTGTGGGTTCAATAATATCGGGTTGAAATAAGCACCTCAGCACGAAGGCATAAAGTACAAAAACTAACCATATATCAAAAATTTAACGACCGTAGGAAACATAAATTTTACTAAGATACAGTTACTTTAAGCGCGCTCGTGAATATTTAAGTAAATAATTAGGCACCTTTAAATCTTAAAAAAAATATAAATATTTGTATGTATATTTTAGGTTGTTCTTCAAGATAGCTCTATCTAATCGGTTCTGTTTACACTTGATAAACACTCCTAATTGCGGCGCCCCGAGATCTGCCAAAGATATAAACCAGATCCACGAGCCATTTGTCTGGTGCATTCCTTGCACAGATCGTTAATCACCGGATCGAGTCGATCCGATCGGTAACCCAATCCGTTGCATTCCGAAGACATAACACTTGTATTTTGTAGTTATTTTAAGGCGTGTTCCCTTATAGGCTGCATTCCCCGCCCAGTGACTGCAACTATTTATATTTATAATACCCGCTGCTCTCTGCCAACAAATATATCCAACTCGTATATATCTTGACTCTCAACTGTCGGTTTCGCACATGAAGATACGTAAACAAAAGCGTATCTTCGCCCCCGATAAACAACAAACAAATAGATATATACGCTCTCTGAGATGGAGAGAAAATTTCTGCCCTTTTGGGATGGACTCAATACATTTCTGTCGAATGCTCAGCGAATTTTCTCCGCTCATTCGCCCGCATTGTGTGAGTGGCCAAAACAATCAAGTGAAAGCGCTGAAATTGTATTGTGCTGCGCCCAGCTAGCTCATAAACTTTCGTCGCACACTGTGATACTTGGTACTGCTGTGTGTGCTGCACAAGAGCAAAGTGCACGGCGCACGGCGGAGAGAGTTCCCAGCTCCCAGCTCCAAGTGCCAAGTGCCAAGTGGTATCTGAAAATTATTTTACGGAACTAACGCAGACCCCGGGGCCTCGAACTCAGTTTCAGATTCACAGTCGCAGTCAGTCGCATGCGAGAGTCGCTGACGGGCGGAGCTGAGAAATACACGGAATCGGAATCGGAATCGCAAAAATCGGAGACGAGACGAGAAGATATAGCGCAGACCGAATCCGGTGGCAAAGAAAAATGTGCCCGAGAAGATGTGCGAGTCTGGGAGTGTTCGTGTACATAAATCGCAGCGGAATCAAATGAGTTTTATTCAATCAACGAGGAAAGTCCGCCCACCAACGGAAGTGCTATATACACATATATTGAGTCTGCCAGCTACGACATCCCGTATAAACTAAGCGAAAAGGTACAAAAAAGCGAAAATGTGTGTGTATATGTGGGGGGAGTACACGCCTTTTGGGTGCACCAAGTGAAATGCTAACTACGAAATGTTGAATCCCCAAATGGGCATGGCTATGCATATATTTGGAAATGGTTAACTGTGAAGACGGGAAATGTGATTTGCCAGACTGCTAACTGTTTTGCAGTCATCAAAAGTGCGCTGGGCTTCGGGCCAACTTTGCCTAGGGTCAACATCCTTTGACCCAATTATGGCCGAGGAACTGCACAATCTCTGCTGCCAATTGGCAATGTTGCCCACTGTTTTGTTGTGGTTCCGTCTGGTTGGCTGGTGTCAAGCCGTTTATAATGCGCCTCAATTTCCGTTTGCCTTTCCTTTGGGCCTGGCCTAAACGCATACCCAGTAATAAACCCCGTGCTTGCCCCCCATTATCCTTGCTGCTGACACGCCTCAGAGTTTTGCAAGCGAAAAATTATGAATAGCTTGTGCAGGGCGCAGGGGAGGACGGGGTGTTGGGGCTTGGATAAGGACTCTGGGGGGCTAAGGATAATCGGGGGCGGCGGTGCGTGTGTATGGGTGTGTGGGTGCGGTGGTGTGCGGCTGTAGTTGGTGGTGGGCGCGGCAGAGCAGGCGCACTCCTTGCAACTCTCTCGTGAAGTTTCCCGCACGCTCTCGCGTTAACTCTCCGCTCCAGGACCCTTTCCACACCCCCAAGGATGTGCCTAACCTACCTTTTGTTGAATTTCATAGTATGTAGTATGATAAACGGTGTGTGCAGCTGTGTGCGTGTGTGTAAAACCGCTGTGGCAGTGTGTGTAAGCAGGTGATTATCTGTTGCCGTCGTGTATTTATCTCATTGAGGCATTCAAAAGTGGAATGCAGCCCGCTTTTAGGCGCTTTCAACGTGCTTTATCGCGTTATATGGCGAGTCCTTAAAGTCGGAACTATGGGCAAAATATTGAGTTATTCTGCGCAATATTTACGCCCAGTCAATTGATCATTCAACAAGTGACTGATGCGTATCTATATATCACATTGCACATGCTGCAAAAACTGTAAATATTTAAATATTGAAGTGACAGCAGATCTGGCTATAATTAGACTATAGAATCATATTG